ATTGGACGAGCAGTATGGAGGAATATTGACACGTTTTTTGTGGACTTTTATTGACCTTTCTGTCTCAGACCTCCATTATTTGAATGTCAGCAGACAGCAAGAAGCCTCCCAGATCTCCAGATGCATTTGAGATATCAAAAAAGTACTCCAGAGTGTTGTTCAGCATGAGGGTGAGTAGAAAATGAAGGCTAATCATGTTTTGGGTGTACTATTCCTTTAAACCATTTGAATCTATGAAACAGAGAATACTGTTCCTCAGTAGAACCCAGAATATCCAGTTTGATGAATCCTCACCTGAATATTTCCAGTGTCCAGTCTGAAGCAGACAGAAACTCCCCTGAATCATGGAGATTGTTATTCTGCAGGTCAACCTCTCTCAACCAGCAAGACTTGGACATTAGAAGTGATGACAGAACTTCACAAGTTCTCCCTGAGAGGTTACAGGATCTAAGTCTAATAGACAAAATGAAAAAAAGTCAAAGAATAACAAAAAGATTTTATTTGAACAGAAAATGTTTGTCTTAATACCATGAAAAGTCAGGATGATCAAAGTTTGCTCTGATAAAAACAAGCACACTATATTGGGTCAGTATTGCTGTTTAACTATTCTGACCCCTGCAGGACCCTCGTGGTTGGAAATTTACCTTTCATATCCAGTGCTGGTTACTGATATAGGGCCCCTGAGGACCTAGTAAGCCCCTTAGTTTTTAAACACTGACTTCCAACTAACTAGTCTGCCTTCTCCTCAGGTACGTTGCTGCCTTAACTTGGAGATTATTGTGTGTCACATTCCAACACTTCCGCATCCATCCTCTACTCATGCTCACCATTCACGACTGATATCAGTGACTTTCACACTAAAGCGGGAAACTTGGATTCTAACCTTAGTTTGTGTTGAAGACATTTCTATTTCAGAATACTTAGACTTGGTTGGTCTCTTTTATTTTGGCCTCTGAGCTGCGTCAAAGCCAGACATTATATGCAAGATAAACCAGGGAATGCTTTACTACTTTCTATGAAGTCTAAAGTTTAGATTAATATCACCTGAAAAAAAATTGAAAAGGCCCAGATGATGATAGGGGCTTATTTTTGGAAGGGCTTAGCCCAAGTAAGATGTTTTAGTTTATGCAAATTGCATCCTCAGAAATGTTTAAAGGTCCTGAAAAGACAGCTTTTACATGCAAAACTCCCCCCCTTTTAAATTTACTTTGGTTATAATAAAAAATCTGTTAGTTTTACTGTGTATCATACCTTTGAAACTATGTTGTAGAATAATATTTCAAGACACTTATGTAAACAAAGCTCTCTCACTGTAATTGCCTGTGCTATGTTCTTATTTCTTTATGGGCCAACAGACCAAGATAGGCTGTGATTTTGGAAGATAGCCACAAATATGTATTTTGGAAACAAAATGACAGTATTCAAACCTAAGCAATACAGTACCAGTAAAAAAGTTGGCTTTAGGTGTAACAATACTATAACAAAGAATGGTCTTATATCCCTCTTTTGATCAAATGGAAGAAATATGTGAGATGAGATAACACATTAGAAGTAACCCTGAACCTGTCTATGCTGGAAGTTATGTGGGGGGATGGGAGTGAGATGACAGAGAGCGGTTGCCTCCTAACTCTAGACAAGGGTGAAATATAGATACATGCTCTTCAAGGTGTTTAAGACTCCCTAGTGAGATGAACGACAGAGACAGCTGTTTTGAAATGTTTTCATCTGACTAGTGAAAAATGTATGTCTCTGATGAAGTCAAAGTTGTTTCTCTTGGGAAGACCCAACGTTCGTGTGTGAGAAATGTCTTTATATGCAGGGGTGGGAAACCACCCCCCCCAGAGCCACACTAACAGTTCAACTGTGAGTGTTGTTCTTCTCTGCAGAGTAAATTAAAACTATTTCTTGCGCTCATTTTACTTCACAAATGCCAAAACAAAAACGGTTAATTTTCAGTGGGAATCATAAAGACTCTTTCAAGGATGATATGTTATCATATCAATTACAAATTAAAAACAGTATGTACACTAGGGGTGTAAATAATAATGGTTTTGTATCGATGCATCGATCCAACAGCCGATGATCCGATGCATCGATACA